ACACACACACACACACACACACACACACACACACACACACACACACACACAAACACAAGTATTTATTGCACATAATGCTTTCTTCAACCAGCGCCAGATAGCAGATAACTTGACAGAATTATCAGGGTTTTTTTCCTCACCCCTCATAATGATCAAACTCGGCCTAGAGTTAATTATTTAAATTGTGCGCATAAACAAACTGTGTCCCATGTCTAGACACCAATGATCTGCATAAGTCTAAGCCAAATCGTACTAAAGGGAAGGAATTCACCCTCTTTGTCTCAGACGCATTCTATGAGACTTGTACCTTCGTTTCTGTACCAAAGATTGGTCTGCATAGTCTGAATCACCCTCTGTTTTATGAAGAGTGCTGTAAGCTACATGGGTAAATTTGACTAGTAATAATAGTATGTCTCAATTGTTGCAATAAGACCCATCTTCATCTAAATAAAATTTGTGCTGTCTTTGAATTTCATGAAATGTCGTTGACACTATCCAAGAGAACCACCTGTTTAAGATGATCACATTTTGGCCTCAACAGTGGACGGTCGTTGTATTGGTCAAGCTCAACAATATATTTGCAAAATTAAAAGCGTTTTTCAAATGCCAAATCGGAAACAAATATCAAGCATCATGGTTCACCACTTACCATTTAATTTAATCAATCACTACTGGTGGTTGGCGGGCGGGTGCTCTGGTGTGGTTTGCTCCTTCTTTCCTATAAAAAATCTATCGTCTCTATCTCTCCTTCTTTTTGTGTGTTTGTTGCTCTCTTGTAAAAAGTAAAAGTAAAGTTGTTCCCGCATTCGATCCGGACATTGGGGATTGCCTTGTTAGTGAGACAACTTCCTGGGCTTTCGGCATATTGTGATAGGGTGGCTAGTTCCTTTCCACGCCGCCATTAATTCCTCAACTTGAAGTCAGGTAACCATTACTGCTGGGTGGGCAGGAGGGGGAGAAAAAAATTCCGTGTCCGAACCGAGGCTCGAACCCGGACTTTCCGCTTCAGAGACGAGCGCACTAACCGCTCCGCCACCGCACCCTCACTCTCTTGTAACCCCTCTAATAGTCGGCACTTAAATGACCTTATTGTCTTACAAGTGCTGCAAAGCTCTTACTAACAGTAAATCAATCACTAAATTAAAAAAGGACTTAAACTGAGGTCCGACTCACCTCCAAAATCTGGGCGGAGTCTCTTGTCGTACCCCATCATGAGCATGTTGAGCAGATTGGTCACGTTACTTCTCAGCTGCTGCACGCGGACCGGTTGAGCGCTGGAGTTGGCCACTGATGACGTCACGTGATTGGTGGGCTCAGAGACATGCGTGAACTCTGACACACTTCCGTTAGAAGAAATGAGTGTCGGCTGGGGATTATTTGACCCTGACTGACCGGGCTCAGAGTGGATTAGTTGAGGATTCTGGAAGATTTCCTGTTGATTGGAGCTTGTACGTTTCTCATTGAAAAGGGCAGTGTCGTTTGAAGAAGCTTTTTCTTGATGTTTATTATCATCCTCGGGAGTATTTTGATTTAGTGATACTGTAGAGTTTAGCCTGAAATATCCCGTTCCCAAATTACTTGATGCAGCATTTTTTGTACTTGCGTTCCTAGGTTCAGCTTGTGTTTGTGATTCTGTATGTTCTGTATTGTTTCGCTCATTACCTCGTCTTCTTTGTACACTGTACGTGTTCGTTAGTGACAACTTTGTACTATCCTTCTTTGTAACGACCGACACATCGCGTGAGTTTTCCACCGTTTGTCGGTGTGAACTTAAAATTCTATGAGACTTGTGCCTTCGTTTCTGTATCAAAGACTGGTCTGGATAGTCTGAGCCACCATCAGTTTTGTGCAGAGTGCTGTAAGCTACATGGGTAAATTTGACTCTATTTCTATTCGATGAAGCGTCCATAGACGTGTCAAAAGTGACAGAGTGATCTTTTTCTGTATTTCCGTATTTCTGAACTGGTGTTTGAGAACTTTGTTTCTCAATGAACGAGTTTTGTTTGTTTGTTAAAGGGCTATGAGTGCGGTTGATTAGAACTCGATTGTTCTTATATTTTTTGGAAGAATCGAAACCCCCACTTCTGCCTGTTACCTCTTCAGAGTAATCAGAATGGAATAAGGAATCGCTAGAGGAATCTGTTGCACCGACTCTAAACCCTTTAAGGATATCTTTCATCGTAAGATTTAAGTTGAAAGTTTCACTTTCGTTGTCGTAATCCATTGCAGAGTCTTCGAAATCCTTGGAAAGCCCCGATTGCTGTTTTTCTCCGAAATCTTTGGCGTTTCTGTGGTGAGGGGAATCCCCTTTCTCTGTGTCAGGGTCACTTTGTACACACAACAAGGGCCCGGCAAAAAGTACACACGTAGCAATTGTACACACCACACCGACAGAACTTGTGAGCATGTGGCCTACCTGGGATACCGTGCTAAGGTATCTTAACTTCTGCTTCTGCATTTCGCATCGGTTCCAATTAAATTCTTGAACTTTTAGTCACTGCTGTGAGCTGAGGAGAAAAAAAAATATTTTTAAATAAATATTTCTTAATGCGTGCTTTTCTTTAGACAAAGATATCAACCTATTATTTGCTTTCTACAAAGCCTTCATTGAAGTCCTCTTACCTCACTAAATTTGATCAGCACGCTAAAGGTGAAAATAATGAGAAACCATTAGCTAAGGGAGACAATTGTGTTACAGCATGGTGGAATCAAGGGCACGTCTATTTATGGGCCTATAGAGTTATTTGTGTAATCTTAAAGCCTGTGTATACGTCTTGCTTTTTTACGAAAACAAAATATTAATTTATCCAGAACAATGGTCGAGATATTTGAGAATGAAGGAGCAGGGGGTCAGTTTATGTTAGAAGTAAAATAACCGAAGAGTTTGACAAATGTTTAATGTACATAAAGAAGTCTGTTATCTCCACGTTAATTGTCTTCCTCCTTCACTTACATTACTTTACGGTGCGATAAAAAATTCGTGGCGAAACGTATTGTTTAATATTTTCTAAACCCTCCACACTCTCCAGTTTTTGCACAATGACTGGTATCAATTGGTCTTAACTGATCAATATTTTGGTAAACACCTGTTGACTGTATTCTAGAAAATTCCTTAATAATTACTAATACAAAAAAAAGTAAGTGGTTTCTACTGATTTTATGCATATTAAGCACGTTTTGAGAACCTTAAGTGTTAAACTGTGTTCAGTTTAAAATTAATTTCTTGATACAAGTTTTGCTTGCACAAAAAACCTTTGTAATTCTGGTGTGCAGTGACGTTGTCCAATATGCAAGAGCAAAATGTGTTTGAGAAGCGGAAACAATTTCATTTCCCGCATGACGGAGATGTAGTATTTTATATAAATTTATGTAGAAAAGTTTTTCAATCTAACCTCATTTGTTGGGGAGCGATGTGATTAAGTTAAGACAAATTATTACAAATTGTCGTGCAAAGTATGGGCACCATTGATTCTCCCGATAAAGAGATATTTCAGGGTGAAGTTGTGACATGAATTTTTGACCGCACTGTAGTATCATCTAAAAGCTTATTCATTTATCTTGCTTTTGGTGTATTTTTAAAAACTATTTATCTTAGATAGAAGTAGAGATATTTGCGATTGAAAGAGGTGGGGTCGCCTGGTATCAGAGGAAAAAGTAGCGACAGAATGAACGCCCAAGTTTGGTGACTTCCACAGCTTGAGAGTTCCTAGACACGGCACACACACACTCACACACTCACACACACACACACACACACACACACATACACACACAAACAAACAAACAAACAAATAAACACACACACCCATATATACATATATA